CCCCAACGTATGGCCTGCGTGTCGTAAAAGGCGACTAAAAGGCCCTCATGGGTGGGTTGCTGCGCCCATGAGTACCAGGAGCCGGAGGGCCCCCCTCCTTCTCGCTTCAGAGAGGGAGGGGAGCCCAAAGGCGCCTATAGCAGGAGAGCGCACCGGATCCCTTATGCCAGTATGGTACCGGTCTCTCGGGTGGGCAGCGGCGCCCGAGAGTATCAGAGGGAAGCGAGCGCGCCCGGTTGTTCTTAGGGCAGCCGGTGCGGCTGAACCGACCTCACCGCGGGCGCAGTCGGGTCCCTAATGCCAGTACGGCAACCGGCCTTCCGGGTGGGCAGCTGCGCCCGGGAGTAGTAAGATCCTCGGCGAATATTTCGCCGGGGATCCACAGCGGGGGCAGGGCGGGTTCCTGAGGCTCCGTTGAGCCAAACCGCCCTAGGGGGCGGCCCGAAAAGCCGCCCGGGTTGGGGGGCCGCCGTTATGCCCCCTATCACAAAAAATGATGGAACAAAAAAAAGGAGCGACTTCCGGCGGGTCGGATACGCCGGGCCGGCGCGGGGGGGCTGTGGTCCCAGGCACCCCCGTGTCGTCAACAGACGATGGGCTACACAAAACCGGCGCGCCGGCGGGCACAGCAACCGCCAAGGGAAGGGGGGAGTTTGAGGGGAAGGGAAAAGACAATGCGGAAGGAGGGTGGAAGAGAAGGAAGCTGGACAGATACGAGGAAGGCGGAGGGACTCAGGCATGTGAGGAATGTGGGGAAGTGGTACGGGAGAAGGCAAGCGAAGAGGAAGATAGCGGGAGTGAAGAGGAACAAAGCGGAGAGGAAGACATGGAAGCGGAGTCGGAAGAGGAAGGAAGTGAGGGCTGGCCGGACCCGATGGACGAGCGCAAGAACCGGGAATTTGTGCTCGCCCGGGTGGATTTCGCCCGGGAAAGTGCCAGCCTCATCGAGGAATATACCACAAGGAACAAGAGAATGAGCAAGACAGAAAAGACGACCATCAATGGGCACGGAAATTACTTGAGGAGGTACTGCGAGGACACCGCGAGAGTCTTTAAAC